TTCTATCAATTACTGAGTGTCAGGATGCAGCAGCAAACTCGGGAATCACATAAAAACAGCATGACTCATGTTCGGTCAACTTTTCACGCTACCACTTTGTTACCATTAGGCCCTATTAGCATTGGGCAGCCCTTTAAGCGACTATCGACGTAATCAAGGGAACTCAAGCAGTTATCTGAGCAGCGTGGCACATTTCGAGGACGGGCAATATAACACGCTTGCTCTATTCGCACTTAGGTGTGTTTCTTTAGATTTAGCTTTATACCGGCAACTAAGACGACAAAAGTTGGTTACAATTTCATATGGCCTGACTGGTCTTTAGCGGCTCAGTTCATATGATACAAATGTACTAGCGATATTGCTTCGCTGAAATACTTATAGAGGAAGAGTCGGGATTTGATGCTATCTCCATTACACATTCCAGTGATGGATTTATCAACTCGAAAATACTTTTCAGTGCCTAACCCATAGCTACATTGGGTGCCCGCTGGCTATGTGAAATTAAGCCCAATAACAGGCATGTCCTATTAGACGAACACACTTTGGCACACCGATTCGATTTTAACGGGAACTCACCTAAAACTCAGCTGGATCTCTCGTTTATGAGTAATTTGTTACGCATTTAAAATAACCTCTGTATATTTCAACGAATTCGCACCGATAACTGTTTTCCATCTAACCTGCATATATTCAGGGCTTCTGAACATGCCAAAGATTGTACCAAAGACTAGAAAGGACTGCATCATTCTTGGGAAGCTTTCCTTCCTGTCTGATACGTGGTTCGCAAATGAAGGCCCAAATGTTACAGATAAGCCTTATCAGTCAATCTCACCAATTAAATGAATCGGAAAGATTGATACTAAGCACAGTCCTGAAGCGACATCCATGAGTGGGTTCATATCGGAAAAAGAGGCTTAGTCTTGAATCACTCCCCAATATGTTTGCGTATTTACTCTCATCTCCAACTGAAGCATCGAAGCGGTTTAATTAGTGTGTATAAAGTGGTTTTTACTCTCAGGAAGCCCAGTATTGGTATTTCCTGCTTGATATGCCATGGAATGTCGCGCAACCTTTCTGTACCAGTCCTGTTCGAAAATAGGGAATTTTTATTGAACCCGTATGAAACACTTTTGAGACAGCCTTTTAATCACACCGCAACTATATCATCTCAGCTGGTGGGGAACTGTTTCCAATCGAATCGCGCAGTTCAACGAACAAACCAACGATCGTTAAAAACTGAGCTACCAGTGTAAGGAGGGAAGCCTTCTGTCGCGAAGTCATTTATTAGCAAGCATCTACTAGGCAGTTACAAACTATTGGATGGAAAAATAAACATTCCATTTGCACATAGTTTTTTAAAAACTGAACATTCACAAACTTCTTTTTGAACACTCATGGATGTTTGTTGTCTATTACGCGACTGTAAATGAACGCTGCAAAGCATTTCCACAAGTCCTGTGATAAACTTCACCTTCCATTAGACGCAGAGTGGAGCACGCCTCGTCAATAGTATCCGCCGTTACAACAGTATTCTTCTCAATTACACACAGCCTGTATGCTATATGTTTTGCTGAAGAATGTATATAGTGGAATTTATACGAGGGACACCACTGAGTCTGTCGTCCTGTCATGCAAGCCAATTAGTCTTCCTTTCATATAGTTATCAATCGTTCAGCAAATCCTACTTTGCCCTTATTTCACATCCTGGTAGCCGCAAATAAACACACTGGTTTTGCTTGACACATCTCTTAAACTATCGTGTCCACTGTCAGGTAATGTGATGCGCAGTTTGTTTGTTAACCATGAGGTTTGCACCCGTTCAGTTTTGAATGCTTCAACTGGCTATGTTCAGAAATTGGATAGTGAATGAGTGGTAGGAAAAGCTTGGCAAATTCCGATGCAAAATAAAGGCCAATCAAATTTTTACACAATGTCAAAAGTGTGGCAAACATTCCGTCAAATCGCTGTCTGACACCCAAAATTAAATGCGCAGTCCACAAAACCACGCATCTATAAAATTTTCCGTTAGAATACATAGTCACAAATACAAAACAGTTATTAGATTTCTCCCAAAAAGAATGTGTCAGTTATGAAAGTTACGACAGTCCACTTGCGCAAACACCACTCTGGGAAAATACCAACTTGCCTTAATTTCAGAGTAGACCTTGCTGGGAAAACAACAGTTAACAAACGCACAAGCCCTTTATAATAGCAACGACGCAACGAAAGCTAGCAGAATAATTTTTTTAGAACGTTTTCATAAGATCTCTACAACTCGGAGAAATCAGCTTCTCTTCCACCATGAGAACATTCATCATTGTACGAATGACCGCAAAGTCACACAAACATGCATTTCAATAAAAGCTTATGATTGCGATCATTGTAGAATTTTCTGTTTCCGCAGATGATCTTTGTTTATTTTTCATCGTATAATGAGTTTATCGTACTGAGTTACTATTTCCGGAACCTTGGTTAATTAGGTGATTTACGGACCTAATATGTGTTGAAACATAGTTCCCTCGCACACGGCCATACTTCACTATGACTAATTCACTACGACTTAAATCAACCGTGAGATGCTTGAGGCTGAGTCAGTATTCATCGTTTCAGAGGGGCTTGTTAAACAGATTGTGAAATTTATTGCTGAGAACGTTTTTGCTTTTGAAATAAAGGCTTCGTCAGGCTGTGTAAATAATTTATGAGGCTAACCGAGTTTTAAGGTGGACGGTGAACCAATCGGCGAGAGTTCTTACGACTAGCTGACTTAATCAGTGTTGAATATGTCTGTCAAATTTCTTGTTTGTTAGTTAATGTGGATGACTAACACATTCAGCAGATGTCAGGGCCCATAGCCATCAAGCTGACTAAGAATTTTAGGGACTTGACTTGAATTTAAATTTAGGAACTCTAAAGGACTATTCTCTTAACTTACTGACATATTAGCAAGGGGATAATCAAGTCAACGATAAACAAGGGTAACTCTAAAGGTGAGAGGTAATCAAGCTTTATGATAAGTCATCTAGGACAAGGAAAACGGCATCCGTTGTATCTAAAATTTCAGTGCAACCAGGACTTTTGAGGATTATTTAACTATCTCCAGTACGATCAGCAATGGATGCCATGGATTCACAGCCGCATAAGATGGTCAGACTTCTGGCAAGTATCCTAAAGCCGCTTACCATTAAGTCATCCAAATCTTCATGGTTTTCCCAGAAAGATGTACTCGAGCTTTCATTGAATTTAAACGAAGTTCTCGTTGGTTTTGTCACCAACATAATGTATACGAGTGTTTTCAAGGCGGGCGCCCTGGAGGTGTGAAACTGGCAAACAAAATACTGTAAGATGAGGGGTAAATTTGCCCACCGAATACTCTTTCTGGGTGGTCTGAGCTGGTCTTCACAAAGTAGATTTCCAGGGACTGGAATGAAGTGATCCAATTTTGGGACAAAATGAGGTTTCCCATTGTAATTGCAGCGCACCAGTTGTTTCACTCAATTATTCTGAACCCTACTTACACCCCACCGAATTCAACACTCTTAGTCTTTGGTACTACACCAACACGATGGGTTCAGTTCCCACAGTTTTTGTGTTAATTCAGAACTTATTTGACACTATATGGGTTTTCCATTGGCTGGTCTGACACCTTGTTCTACGGGCTGAAATGGAGGAAGATTTGTGCCTGTGCCGGATTCTGTAAAATCGATTTCGTGAATTATTCGGTTTGGCGCATCAGTAATATCCCCCTTATTGATACTGATCTGGTCAGTTGTTGGGTAGGCTTTTCCTCTCTGACGCCATAGATGCCCGTGCCATGTGTGGTTCTTAATGGCTACTTAATCTTTCACAAGTATTCTAAACGCGAAACGTCTCATGCACTCAGGCCCGAGGTCTCCATCTGTGGTACAATTTGCGGCTCGCTCCTGACTCGTGACCTGGCCAAGTTCCCCAGCCTGTATTCCAAATCAGCATAGGCCTGACCCTGAAATGTTCTAGGTGAATTACACAAAACCCATAGAAAGCCTTTTACTGTACAGGACATATAAAACAACAAAGACCCAACAAGCGCTTTTGTAGGCCAGAGGTCAGTATCCTGTTAATAGTGAAATTTGATGGAACTAGGTTTGATTTACTTGATTTTGTCTGTATTCACAAACCGCATACAGATTCCTCTGGCCAGTCAGCTTAGGTTTGTTCGCTGAAAGTTCACTTGACAGACATAGCAACGAGGCTGCATTGCACATTATATATGCTCCAATATAAAAGGCTTCTAATATGGAAGCAAGATAATAAGCGAATATACAGCCGATTGATGCGAAACTGGAAGATCCGTAGAAAAAGAGCTAATATAAAACCGTTTGAGACTCATCAGCTCAATCGGCTTGGATCGAAGAACATTCGAGGCACCTTCACAAAATATGATTTTAACGCCAAATAGCACATTCTGTGCCATCACCAAGCTTTCTGGAAAGCACAAAAAATACAACAGATTTAGCGTCAGGTGTACAAAGAGAATAAACACTTGATGTGACATTTCTTGTGCACCAGTAAAGCGGAAATCCATTGTGAACCCTCTACAACCGTTCGGAGGTTAGAAATTTTCCGAAAACGTACCAATGAATTGCCTAAAAAAAGTAATTAGATAATTTGTTTGAAGTAAACTATTCATACGTTCAACGAAAACCCTCCAACCGCTGACGACCGGTTTCCCCTCCCTTTGGGTCCACCATGTAGACGCAGTCCCTGAGTTTCCGTCAACCTTACTTGGGCTGATAATACGACATAAGTGTGAGGTTAATAATCTTTACTAATCCAAATGTCTTGCACTGACACGCTATCTTCGCACGTAAACCGACCATGTATTACAACAGATCTCAAATTCCCGAAAATGCCCACTTTCTACTAGCAAATTAGAAATTGCCTGAATCCATTTTATGACTGATATACATTATTGAATCCGACGAGTTGTCACTTTCATCTTCATCTGTTTTGGTCTGTCACAGATCTGCGGGATACCCGCCATTCTATGATGAAAATGATCACGAACTTTTTCGCCAGATACGTCAGGCCGAGTATGAATTTGATTCCCCATACTGGGACAACATTTCAGATTCTGGTCAGTTTTATTTACTACAAAGCCCATCGGAATCAGTTTGTCTCCCATCCTCTCACGTGAAATCCCAATACATAATACCTTCGATATGTGGTATATATATATATATACATTTAATATATGATACCTTTAATATCTTTACCTTTCTTGCATGCGTAGGAAACTTTGCTGTCACAGTTCATGATCTGGTTGAGAGAAGACAGAAATTTTTAGGTTTCTAATGTACTCAACCACTGCATCTCTGAATCCATATGCCAGACTTTACATGTTATTGTAATATCACGTAAGATATCACCACCATTACAAGAAGCTCATGAAATCGTTGCATCCCATCTGGACAGCCGGGAATGCCAACATACTAACTACCCTTTGACTCATGGTGTCAGTGTAAGAGTAGAAGTCACATTTGAATGTAATAATTACCAACCTTCGACTCCTACCTTATTAGTCACAGATCTGGTCAACGTTCACCAACACCAATCAGTGGTATACCAAGTGTTCAAGGTAAAGTTCAACCAGCGTGTTGGCTTCAGATGAAGAGTTGGTTTTACTTGCATATGGTCAATACTTTCGACTAGTATGAATGTGTTCGAAATTTTGACTAGAGCATACTATCCAGAGCCGGTTGATATGGTCAGGCCTGAAAAATGGTTGTTTAAGTGTGTAAAGATGTGGTGAGGCTGTGAAAAAGCTGTGGTAATCTATGGCAGCAGGGAGTTACCACGGTAGTTTGATGCCTGGTTCAGGTTAGTGGACTGCCATGCTGTTGTCTACCTCGCCTTGATATCTTGTGGTCTTAAGCATAAGATAGCGAGCAAATCTCCAACGGAAAATTCGTTCTGAATTGAGGATTTTTAGCGACTTCTGTTGTGATAGCAGTGACCAACTCTAGAGCGGTCGTCTAAACGGATCAGCTTAAAAGTTATCGCCTTGGACAGATAATTTATCCTGGGAGTATTCCTCAAGCCGCACACGCCTTTTAACTTTAGTGAGGATTCTCCTGCAGAATATAGCGAGAAATGGTGTTTTTCTCCGATACGCCTCGTCAACTTCCGCTCTAGGGACATTAGATTAAGCGAGATCAGTTTTGTGTAGAGTGGCGTTTTTTGAGTGGGACTTGTTTCGTGGCTGCTACATCCAACATAAGGGGATTCTCCACACACACCGTAAGTTGACAGTAAAACTACTGATTACTTTTTACACAAATAAACTGTAGCATATACAATTGGCAAAATGCATCCATTCGCAAATCAAGCTGGTATTACCGAAAGACTCCAACGAATTCCAACTGAATCTCTGGTCTGAGTTACTTTGCGGTCTACTGTCCAAACAGGACATGAGAGCGATGGAAACCTGAAGGACGCGCATACGTGCTGAGCCCAAATAAGGTTGAAACTGATCTTGGACTTTCGAACTTATGAGTAGTGAGCATCGACAAGATGAGGTCACTGAGAAGTATTCAAGAAAAAAGTCTCGAGCTGCTTGAATCATGGCAATGACATATGCCTCCTATGGTGGCTTGTGAACCAACCCCGACAAAACGGAGGGACAAATGTGTTGATTCATCTATAAGTTGTGAGCTGATTTACCTTTACTCTTTTATTCCTTACAGAATCGTCTGAAGGTTTTAGATTAGAAACCAATGCTTTCCAGCCTGTGGGACAATGTTGTGCAACTCTATTCGAATTTCCATTAGGTTCTCAGCTGATGTTAATCGACTGAGTATGCCATTGTCTCACCTCTTGTGGGATCTCTTGGTAGCATTTGACAGTCAATATTAGGGAGTCTAAAAACTTGCAACTTTAACAGAGTTTCTTTACTGTGAACTGGTTTTATTGTTTTGATTCTGACACCTGTCAGACATGATGAAGGACATCCAACACGTGAAAGTTTTATTCGCAATGTTTATCGTTCAGCTAAAGATTTCATCCGTCACTTGATGGAAAAAGACCCCAAGAAACGGTACAGTTGTATGCAAGCACTACAGCACCCTTGGATTGCGAGCAATACCGCCCTCGATAGAGATCTTCATCCGTTCGTCAGTGAACAACTCCGTAAAAATTTCATCGCTGTCCAGCGCTGGAAGGTAAGAATTTTTTGACTGCGTCGTTAGTTAATATTAATTCTTATCGTTTCCAGTAACCGGGGCTCGAATAAATCGACAGAGTTCACCGAGATGAATAAGCAAAACCGTTGGAACGATTATGTTAGTTTGGATGTTTCATATCTTTGTCTTGGTAAGAAGGCTGCTAATACTGCAAGTTTCTATGTGGTCCTCGTGTGAATAGACCTAGCTTCAGCCTACTGCGGAAAGAAAATGGGTATCGGCGCTACGGCCTGAGTGTGTTGTTCCGGGCTCCCAAGTCCCTGGTTTGTCGGTGTGTTTTATCCTGTGTTAAGATACGTCCTTTGCTTATTCAGCTTGACTTGGGATTTCTTCAATTCATACGCTGGAAACCCTAATTTAGTAAAGAAATGAGTCTGATTCGCTAGGAAACAATGGCCTCTATCTGGAATAAACTGCACACAGGCTCCTCAGCCACCGCCATTGACATAGAGAGGGACTGCAATTTCTTACACAGATTTTAATCTACCACTTCAATGGAGGCCTCAAGAGAAATTTCAACAGAAGCAGTCCTCAGTTGTTTCACCCAAAACAGTTGACAATGCGCTTTAGAGTAGTGCCACTTAATTATACCTTTTCGTTCAAGAAATAATACGTACTTGTAAAATATCACTTGTAATTTCACCAGCAGTCTTGCATTCGCGATTGGATGTTGACAGTGCAACGGTGGCCACATCATATTACGTAAGACGAACTCACAAAAAGAGTTGAACGACCTTGGGAGGAAGTCTAGGCTGGAAACAGATAACCAATAAAACGGCCAAAGAGTCATTTTCGGGGTATATTGACCTTCTCATATTAATCTTTTGGGTTCCTAAGATAGAATTCGCCGGTCGTTAGGGGACCTGAGCTCACGATATGAAGTTGAACTGTTAATGAACAATCTGCGTTCTGCATTTGGCCATCTCATACACATTTTTGGCAACTGATTAATAAAGCAGTCAAGCTGGTTGAGTGATTATGGTGTTCCTCTGGTTTGTGGAAATGTGCACCGATCCGCTGACAGAGATGACATTCTGTAGTCTCTGGAATAGTTAAATTAGTATTCAATTCATGGGATAGATTGCACCATTAGTGTTTGTGTCCTTTGTGCAAGCAACTGTTTTCTGAGATGCTCTGTCTGGAAGTCTGTACGGAGGAACATCCCCAAACTGTGTTCCTGGATGAACACCCCCCTTAATGTAGGATATGCAAAATATATAGACTCAAAGATTTTATTAAAGTATGTTTCATCCACGACAAGTAATATGTCGCCATAAACCGTATGAAATTTAGTTGAAATAATGCTGCCCCAAAGTTGGTTTTCTATCTTTCCGGATAAGACCAAGTGCTGACCGCTAAAGTGGATATGTCAGCACATCGAAACACCAAGGTGCACGGCTGAAAATAGATGAAATTTTCATTCAAAAAAAACCTAAAATGCTAGTCCTTCGAAGAAACTGGCATCGTTATGTCATATTAGTAATATTTAAATAAATAAATAGAAACCAACAACAGTGATTGTCCAGTGACATTAAAAGCTAGGTATACACCAAAAAGTGTGACAACTAAATTCGTTGAGTCTACACAAATATCAGTACCAGTGTGACCAGTCACGGTCTTCCCGTTACAATATGAATATAGACAAATACTACACAGTGAACTAAACTTTCGCGTTTTCTGATCCAGGTTTATGGGGCGCTACCGGCGCTTCTAAGCTTCCCAGTGCCTCAAATGTTACCTATGTTATTTCATTAGCCCACCTGTAACGCCAAAAGGACGAATCTAGGGCAAAGAATCGTTACACAGTTTTTTGTTACAACGCAGTCGCTTTGCTGCAATCAACGACCAGATGAGGTCACCCTGGATGAAGACACTAGATCAAAATTTAGAATTCCAATTCACACAACAGAAAATTCAAAGGAGCTAAGCTCCTCAGAGCTAACAACAATAAAAAATGCATTTCACGTTGCGCATTCACTCTAAATATCTGTTTTTTAGTCGACGGGTCACAAATTCTTATTCCAAGTAATAGTTTGTTGTCTATGGGACTTATCACTGCAATACAATACTGTATACAGATGATTGGAATTGCTCTTGAGTATGATTTGCACCTATCGTTTTTGTAGTGTCTTAGTCTGACGGACGATAAATTGTAAAACAAATCAGTAGAGAGTTACAACGGCATATCTAAATATTTGCAACAATTACTCGTGAAATCTATAAAAAATAACGTGCACTGTCGCACGGTCTAGATCATCTAGTGTGTGGATAACATGGTTTAGTCCCCATTCAGAGCTAGAATAATCAAACGAGTGGCTGGTGATATAAAATTTGATTGACAAATCCACCGCTGTTAATTCTCCTGCATTTTTCCTCAACAAAACTCTTTGACGCCGTCGTCGTTTTTTTCAAAAATTTACCATAATTCTGAATCACAGAAAGTGAGTCGGTTGGAATGAATGTCATTCAGACGCTACGTATCAGTTATACATAAAGAAGTGAGTATTTGCTTATAACCTGGAGGTATCATCTGGAACTCTCTCTGAAACTCTCAGGATTTTTACCAAAAAATGTTATAATACGTTCTAAAAAAGTCAGACTTAACCAGCTAACAACTTCCGTCAGAACAGCCCGACATGTTAGTTACAATGAAAGAGTTATGATGAAGGGCGCGTAGCTTTCTTGGCTGATTTGAAAGGGTTTACAAGTCCAAACGCCACCATACAACTCGTCAGATTATTTTTTATGAAGAATACTGTGTTTACAGGGTCATGGATTAAAAGCATACTAAACCTCATCTAAGTTTTATTGCACAGCACATCCAGACATATCGTGTCGATTACTCTCGTTGTGTAGGGGTATCATGCAACCCTCCCACGGTTACGACCCGGATTGGGGGCGGGATGTTTCAATTGGGTAGAGCGCGAATTCGATGACCAGAAGGTCCGTGGTTCGAACCCGACCTCTACCTCTCGACTTCCCTGTCTAGGCTTGGGCAACCTGATAGTATCCCAGTCCTCCTGCTTCGTCCGGGTGGCGTGGCAGCTAGGTACCGGAAGGGTGTTACAGCTGAACGATTTATTTATTTATTTTTTACTCTCGTTGTACAGCATTGCACATCGTAAACTGACACGGGCCTTTTGAGCAGCCTGATAACAGTAAGATCCCAAAATCAAACATTGTTGTATCAAATAATACTATACTTAGATTGATTGCTACGACTAGATAACGTGCTAGAAGGTCTGGAACAATCAGAGGCAACCAAAACAGACCACTCACCAGGTTCTTTACAAGTGTGTAGCTACCACAATATTTCTGCGTATGTTCAGCCCTGGCAACTAAGCACCGTGGAAACACGTAGATCTCAGTTCTCCTTAACATGCGCCAGAGCCACTAACCGCTCAGATTTTCAGATTACTGAACTCCATTAGTGTACGCCTAATAGCGAATCGTTGTAACGGGCCGAGTCGCGCAATCGGTGCTCAGCATTTCGCAATGACACCATCGCAGCTAGAGCGCCGATTCAATGTGCTATCGAACTTCGTAACTTGAGTAAAATGGCTGATTGGCGCGTTAGCCCTGACTCAGAACCAGGACGTGGAACTGGTCTGTCTGAACGTGAAATGATACTAGCAGCTTCTTTGAACTTGGGGCCACTTTGGGGACACCAGTGATGGATGGGCTTAAACACAGCGTTACATCCCTGTCGGTCAACTGTGCCGTACTGCGGATGCCAGGCTCATGTCAGGCTGGCCAATAAACTCAGCACGGCACAGGATCAGCAAGATAGTCCAAAGTCACGTGACCATCCGAGTAACCAACTCTAGGCAAGGCATTGGGCCTTACTGATTTTCAGCTGTGCTTGTAGTGTCAAGCTGGCCACAACCTGATTGACTCGACTTCTTCCCGGTTGACTGGTTTCGTGTCCTCTTTTCTATCAAAATGAGGTGTAAAGAACAAAGCGGGAGAACCCGGTCAACAGCATGAAGTAGGACACCCGTGAGATGGATCGATGCGTCCTTTACTACCGACATTCTGCCGAAATGCGACGGCTGACTCCTCGGGCATTTTTAAGGATGTGAGAGTGAGATGACAGTGCGGTACAACTTGGCAGGAAGCGACAGACAGTCCATTCATGGGTGAACATTTTGGAAACTGAAGCTGAGTTCCGGGGATGGAAAAGGGTTCAGAGTCATGTTCCGAAAGACACAGAAGTAGAGGAAACGCTGATTTAGATTGCAAGAGACTCAATGGAAACGTTGTCCACATCACATTTGCCATCAGCTGCCGTGGGTTCAACAGAACTGGTCCTCGAGGGATATTTGCTCACACTGAAGTAATGACATCCTATACGTGAGATCTTGGATTCGGTGGACAATGAACTACTGAGAAAGAACTATGTCTTCCCAGTTATGTAGTCAGGGCCGAGAATAGATCAACTGTTTGGGTAGGCACACCAAATTTGGGCTGTTTTGTTGCTGAGTAATAAGTTGGTAACTTAGGGCGACTAGAACGTATGCCGTTATGACCAGTAATGTAGGAAGGATCTTGGACAATCTTGGTGCATTATTGATTACCGGCTTCTTCGGATTTAGTGTCTAGAGAGGGTGACCCACGGTTCAATAATTCAACCGCGAAAAATCCTAAAAGAATCAGGGACACTTATTTCAGCCAGATAAACGATGTTAAAGGTTTAAATTCCCACGCGTTCAAAAACATCATGTCAGAAGATTTGCTTGTCACAGATTCCCTTTGACAATACTTCGCCGTTATTCATCCTGACTGAGCAACTTGTAGGCGAGCGAATTAGATTGTTAACGTTGTGGTAAACTGTTGCATATTTATGTTCACTGAGTTGATAAACAAGAACTCCTTTGGCACTCGTACAGATGCTCACATGTTAGCTACATTTACTCAGCTGTACTTTGTTTGATGGTTCCAAAAGTCACGCATACGCGATCGAGATGAGCACAAAGTGTAGGTTGGAACAAGGTGATATCCCGGCAGAAAAAAACAGTTGTATATCTCAGCTCTCCCTTCGACTTCATATGTGGAATAAAGATATGCGAGCCCTCAGTATTGACGGCGATGCACTCGTTACTGATATGAAAGGCATAAAACACTTAGAACTAAAAATTAAGCTACCTGGAGGGCGTTAGATCTTTACAAAGTCATCCATGGTAGTCTCAAACAATAGACAGGTTCCCAGAGGACACCCTGGCCTATATCATTATTGACTTGACTACAGCCTTCGAGGATGGGGGAACTTTGTCTGAACTGGTAAGCACACGGTCAGCAACATGCTCTCGTTTTTTCATGACGATTTTCAATGGGAAATTGCACCCGAGCTATGCCGCAGCCAATTAAAACTCGAGTAACCCAGAAACGAAGCCCGGTATTCTTCCCTTTCTCATCATTGGTACAAGTATGTGAACGCATTTTTGTGTTGAAATAGGGAATCGCAATGCTGGGGTTCGTATGGAGGGAAGAAGTTATCTATAGTAATCTTATGGGTAGACGCCATGATTCCGCCTTCTAAGCACTGAATATTTCCATCCAACACTACGCCACCATTGTACTAGTCCGACTGGATCATCGAGTCATTTAGCCTTAGTGAAGACCACATTCTTCCATGCAATGGTCCAGGCGATATGCTACATCACCCATTACATTCCTTCGTTGATGACCCAATGTGCCTCAGTCATATTCACGCTTTATAGTTGTGGAAGAGACAGTATCTGTTGTTGTAAATTCCTGTCGCATACATTTTGGCTCTATACCCTCCCAACTTGGACATCTTGAAGATTTGATTCGATATGAATGTAGCGGCCTTCTTCTACTCCTTAGACATAATAGGCTTTATAACAAAAGAGAAGCTGGCTAAGTGGTCATGTACGATTCCGCCGCAATTCTCAGTTCGTCCAATCTGTATCCACCAAATCCCCTTTCGAAGGCAATCGACTTCATCATCTGATTTGATACTGTCTAAGGTCACACTAACGTAAGCACTTCAAAACCTGATCCCGAAGATTCGTAGCTGTTCTGATGTCACTGAGAACTGTACCTACTCCTATCTTATTCAAGTCTAATTCAATTCATCTGTTATCACTAATCATCAAATTTACTTGAGTATTCTCCTTTCGAATTTAAATTTCTATGAAAGTGGAAGATGCTAGAAGCAAGTGAGTGGCCATATACGAGTATTTTACTTTATTCTTGCAAGCGTCTTACTCAAAAGCACCAATCTAAGTGAAGACCTATGCTGTTGCAAAACACATTTCGAAGTACGTCGTGGTTGATGTATTAGATCATACTGACGTATCTTTATTCTTGCAAGCGTCTTACTCAAAAGCGCCAATCTAACTGAAGACCTATGCTGTAGCAAAACAAATTTTGAAGTACGTCGTGGTTGATGTGTTAGATCATACTGACGTATTATACTCCACGTATTATTATGACGTATTATTATACTCCACTTGTACCCAGACGTCAACTGATTCATCCAAATACCAAAAACAGCATCAGTTAGAGAGAATTTCTCCAAAAACCACCGATTTTATTCTCCACCCGACAATATGCCTACTCCATATTAGTAGTCATAAGTTGTGTTGTCACAGTATAACGAAAAACAACTGTATGCAGTGTTGATTAATTCCATGGTCTTTCATATCACTGTCCGTTTGTAGAAGGCCTACAATGCAACAGCCGTGGTTCACATCCTTCGGCGACTCCAGCTTAATAAAGATAGCAATTCCGGAAAGCGACGGGGCCAGTCGTCCTCCCCCACCCACATTCACCTGCAAGCTGATATCTGGCGACCAGACGGGCATCGTGATAGAAGAATCAACTCCTTACCTCATCTCAATTTATTCAATTATACTACAGACTCGAGTCAGCAACGCATTGGGCAACAAAGTAATTCCGTCAAGGACACAGACACAAAACGTCAAAGGAACTTATCAAACTGACGTTTAAAGGGACCGAAGCACTCATGCGTGACGTTACCGACCACATCCTTCCAGAGCCTGTTTACTCGCAATTTTAGACGAATTAATCTGTGTTGCGTTTCAGATGTAACAAAAGTTCAATGATGAATAAGCATTCCGTCACCACATAACGCCTTTGTTCTTATTCAAGGCAGTGGTTTTCTTTTCTCTTCACCATTAATATACATCTTTTGCAAGGATTTCTATCAAAGGAATGATTGTTCTACCGTGGTGTCGTATTTTGGTGCTCGGAGGTTGAAAATGACCTAATGACCTTATGGGTAACTGGGCTACTAACACGGAATCCCTCAAAGGCATCGCGAAGCGTTTCTAATAAGCTTTGGTCGTGTTTTTTTGTGCTATAGTGTGGCCTACAGTTCTACGGTTTCTTATTGGAACAAATCAAGTGTTGTGAAAACGTTTCGAATACATCGCGGCGTTATGAATATATTTACGGATTTTTATTTCAAAATGAGGGAATGTATGAACAAACTAGAAATTCATAGTTATAACAAGAGAAGAATAACCAATACTAACCAAAGGTAAGACAGTGTACCTCCTATTCACACAAAAAAGCTAGTGGCATTATCTTTAAAGCGTGATGCGATGATATTGAAAAGTGATGACCTAAAGAGAGGGGTGATGAATTCCTTGAGACTTGCGACGGTGTGCAGGGTTGTTAAAGTAGTCCGGAGGACCGCTGAAACATGAGATTATTGAATGATTCATGCAGTGTAGTCTGTGTAGTCTATGGACGTGATGCAGTGCAAGTCACCCAAACAATAGCCCTCACAGTCATTTGAAATCGTAGGACTGACGCTGGGCTCATCCTCACCAAGGATGCACCATTCCGGCGAGATGAACCACCTCCTCGTGGTGCCAACTGGGCAGCCTGGACGTCAGTCTGGGTGAGCTAAGAGTTCAGCAACTCCAGATAGGGCTAAACACCCTGTTTGGCCTCAATGTGCTGATTACTTTCGACATTGTACACTGTTAATCTTCTGGCGCCTCCTCACCAGTTCCAACCAGTACACAAGAAAGATCCGTAGGACTCACGTGTGAGGAATGTTGCAAGGGCTGCAAGTCGAAAGCCGACATGATAGCCCACCATCGAGTTCACGACAATGAAAGTGTTTGCAACTACTCCCACTCCAGTTTGCATTTCTACATCGAGACGGTTGTTTTTGAAGCTACATTGCTGTTACATGCCCTGCTTCGTCACTCTTCAGTGACTGCTTCTAACCTCAGCTTGGCGTTTGATGATATCTCGAAAGCGTTTGATTCGGTTTCACATGACACAATCGTCAGATCTGCGGAGGCCTTTGGAGCACCATCACCTCTAGTTCGATACGTCGCACAGTCCTATGAGAATGCTGTAGCAGTTTTCCCCAGTTCCGAGGTTCACTGCCACAGATGTGTGAGGCAAGGTTATCCACTCCCCATTATTATTCATTATGGCAATGGATGAGGTTCTTGGATTGTCGATGCCGCAACTGGAACACCAGTTCCATGACATCTTAGTAGATGGTTTTGCCTTCGCTGACGCCTGGGTTGTGTGTGCAGAAAGTCAGGCGCGACTTAAAGTGATGCTTGAAGCTGCCGCGGTCGAGTTGGGAAGAGCTGAAATGAAAATAAACGACCGAAAGATGAAAGTGATGGTTATTTGTGGGGACAGGAAACATCGGGCAACAGCAGTCTCAGTCGAACTATATCGCTTCGCCGACGAACTAATCACTCCTCTGGGTCCGACAGACACTGTGACATATTTAGGCATTCCCTTTACCTCCAAGGGAAAGGGGTCTTCAACCACCGACAGCACCTGCTCAAACTGTTCGAAGAAGTGACGCGTGCCCCGTTGAAGCTGTATTAAAGAATGGATATCACGAGGAAATACCTGATACCAAGGCTGGCATATTCGCTCGTGCTCTGCCAAGTTCACCGGAACAGTCTCAAAGGATTGGATAACTACATCAGGCAATATATTCGTGGCTAGCTACCGACCAGCTTCATTCACGCCGGTAAACAACATGGGGGACTTGGTATCCCAAGTCTGAATGCAACAATCCCGATGCACCGGAGAACGCGTATGGAAAAGCTACATTCTGCACAGTGCCGAGTACTACGCACTGTGGTCAACGATTCCGCATTTCGCAAAATTGTTCGGGATCTCAGCCTTCCGATCCGAGTCCATGGTGCATGCGTAAACACCAAGGAAGAGCTGGTGCTTTGGGTGATAGTCTGGACAACAGCGTTGACGGTCGCGGTTTACGAGAGTTGGTCACCCCACCTCTCTCGAATCGATAGCTCGTATTTCCAAAATGAGTGTTTTAGCGGATATTTATCCGCGGTATCCAGCTCCGATGCAACCTGCTCAGGACGAAAGTTAGAAGCGCTTGGCATTGTCACGGTGACCAGACGATCTTATGTCGTGGAAACTGTGGTCAACAGGAGAGCTTGGTGCATATTTTGCAATCCTGCTGGATCACGCATGATGCTAGATGTGCTCGTAAAAATTGGGTTGCAAGGGAACTCGCAAAACGTCTCCGTCGACTGGGATACACCGTCTTCGAGGAGTTGAGAGCACCTACTTCGATGTCCTTCATCAAACCTGGCCTAATCGCTGTTCGAGATTGCCGTGAACCTGCAATAGACGTCAGTATAGTCTCGGATGGGCGCGGAGTGACTGTGTGGAACGAGAAGAAGCAGAAGTATGGTGCTGATGAGTATTTTCTCGCCATAATCTCAGCCCTACATGCAATCGGTTGTGATGTCAACTTTTTGGTCCACCAGCCGATGATCATCTCTTATCGAGGGATCTGCTTTCCTCAATCCACTAAGGCTGTTATTGGACTGGGACTTCCTAAGGTCACAGTTAGTGACTTGTGTTTGCTTGCTATTGTGGGCTCTCTGCGTACTTACGACAATTTTGTGCGTGGCACATGGCGTTGAATGTACATTTTTGCCACTTAATCTCACACCAGACCCAGAATGACGGACACTTCGTGCCTGATGTGCGAATCTTGACTGTGCTAGCGCTTGTCGCGCCTTTAAGAGCGTTCATCATTGCTTATCCTTTCCTGGGTTATTGGTCTTTACACCTTTGTTTTCATACCAAAAATACCTACATACGTTGGGATTCATCTTATCTGAGTGGAACTGTTTGTGACATGACTTCGAATGAGATGCTTCTCTCTTTTACCTCATATTCTCCTGTAACCCTTTCGCATTCATCGCTTGCATTCACTTTTCATGTCTGTGACAATGCTCTTCAAAAATAAACTACATAAGCCAAGCGTGTGCGTATATGCAGTGATTACTGCATGCACTAATCCAGTAGGAAGCGATGAGAAACTCCAGCTTTCACCAACACTACTCACGCAGATGTGGGCAAGACGGACAGGTCAAACTAGCTGCTTTCTCCAAAAATCATCCCGGAACCGAAAAAAACACTAAAACGTAGAGACAGTCAGTGATGGTGACAAGGTTGGTCGTTTGACGGAACATGAGACACGATGTCCAAGGTCTAAATGTGACAATCATCTTGACAACCTATTACTTTCACTGGTGAATGTTACCTCGAATGATGAGCCAACCAGACAGCACTGAATCTGTTTCTTACATTTGTTCTTCGTGCATGGGGCTGTGGCGAAACCAGTTGGCTTGGTGGCAAAATCTGTTCAAGAAAGGGACAGTGGGCGTCCAACAACTATTGGAGATTCATGAGGTACTGGGTTGGCTGAAATAACTTCTGTGCTGGATACGTCCATACGCCAGAAGCTGCTGAAGGGGATCATACATTCAGTGGTACACTTACCACACGTGTCTTGTGTGCGTTTTGCCAACTGACATGAGTACCAGACAGAAATTGCGCTAGAAACGTACAGCTGTGATACAACAACTTTCGGCTTCCTCGTACACTGACGTGTTTCATTGGACCTGTGTTGTTCACCTGAGCTTTAATCTCTTTCGCGATTCATTCTACCAGAATGTGATTGACCTGAAATTACGCTATGCTTGAGTTACCAAAAATGTACCCAGGAAAATGTCAATTTTTGCTGTCTTAGTAAAATGGATGATATTTAAGCAGATATGCGTATGGTTTTGTAAACGCTTCTGACTTCAAATGTAAGCCCATCTTCCACACGATAACAGCCGTGCAGTAAAAAAATAACCACAAGAATGTCACGAAGCATTGTAAATTCTCGTGAAATACCCTCACTTACACATCAGTTTGGTTTTTCATGGGGAACTGAACTGAATTCCAGCTGAATCTGTCGTTTATGGTATTCTTCAACTGAATACGCTGAACAAAAGCCAATTGATGTTTAATCTGGTACGATATTCGAAGATAAGGCAGCATAGCTCATCGAGGGACACTACCTGCAGGATTGCTGAATAACTTCAGACAATCCACGACTGGTTTTGCTCTTGTTTGATGTAATCGGGTAGGTGCAGTTACTGGGCCTTTTGTTCCACCAGCATTGTGCTGTACTGGGTGCGATTCGCGAAATGCATTCATTTGCATATTTAGTTAGTTTTTCATGGGACATTCGAATGCGCTGTAGCACCAACACTCCCTCCTAGCTGTTTTGATGCCTCCTCGAGCGAGACGGAACACTTTCAACATTACTGTGAAATGACGCGAGAACAAGTGAGTATTACAATAGGATCCCAGTCCAGTTTGTTGTCTTATTCTGTGTAGTAATAACATCAGAATCTTACACCTGAATCCCAGTGTCCGGATGTGAAACGTGCAGTATTTTGTGCGACTCTAAGTTGTCCACAGAATGCGTAGGCATATACAGGGATGAAACTACACAACACATTCGAGTGCACACACGCGCACATGACTGCATGCAAGATTGAAACTACTTTCGTCGATTTCACACAAAGCGTTTTGAAAACATAGGAACCAACTAATCGTAATAACGTGGTAACACCCTGTCGCACTGTTTTCTCGCCATTCCGTATTTGGTAGGACTGGAGCTGGGAATGACGCCAGTTGGCGCCTGTGTCGCTCGTAGGATGTGCCCGTTAGGATGCTAATAATATTACATTCGGTTGCATCGTGCTTACTAATATCTTTTTTCTCATCGTAAAACTAAAGGTTTTGCGATTTCAACCTACAAGTGAGTTATTTTCACTGGTAGTTAGTTGAATCCGATAAATATGTGCATTGGTGGGATAAATTGTGAAAATGGGGATCTGAAACCAACTGACAATTAGGATGGAGAAATCAGTTCATTGGCCTTGTAATTTATTAACAGACTCTTGGTCAGCAAATCATCATCGTAGAATCATGTGATCATCGTTCATCGGATTGATTTCTGACTCGAGCCACACCATGCGAAAGAACTGGATGAATATAGTCCCCGATCTCCAATACATTACTTCCGGTGCTTTCAGCACTTTGGTTCGGTGCGACTCCGATAACCTTGGGAACTGTGCTTTATGATTCCATCCCCTCTGAGTGGATTCCACGACAGAAGTTACACGACAGCATAAGTGTGATCTGCATTAAGTGGATCGATTCTGAGTTTGACTCAAAATATGCGAGGACCCACAACGAAATGATTTCCCAGTTATCGACCACAACAAATCCCCTAGTGGATTACTGGAGACGTGGACCGTAGCAGTGGCCATACATTAGTCCTGTTTCATTTGATCATATCTTTGTACTTAGTTCTACGTACGACCACCGATCTGCTAACAGAATGACTGCGTTACCTACATCGTCATTTTACTTGCGAATTTATGTCCTCACGTTGAAGACACTCTCATCATCTCTGCGATACTCCAGCTCACCAGCGTGAAATCAGAGTGCCAGACCGTAGCCATGTTGTAGCCGTAAATGGAAAGTGCGATTGACTATACCGCCGTGTTGGCGATCAATCTAATTTTTCGTAAGTAGCGAACATTGACAAACTGACTAAAACTATATAGCGAGTTTCCAATAAAAGTTGCTGAAGGGATGGAATCATCTGTCTTACGAAACATATACTGATCCCCAGAAGACCTAACAGTCTCTAAACCATCATCATATTGGTTATTTCGATTGCATCTGCCGCTCTGAAATTGTTGTTACAATTACAGGCGGGGATTTGAAATCCCAGCTTCTCCCTTCCCAAGGTACTGTGGACCACTCTTGTCGAGGCTCCAAATAATCTCACGGTGTTCAGCATGTGAGCACTTCGTTACATGTTCCCGTCTGATTCTCTAAAACATATACAAAGCAGGCATAGCCGTGGGGCCCCATCTGAAACGTAATCTGATGTCATGCACATACTTTCCCCGATAAGTGACATTTGGAATATCACAAAATCCTACGAAATAACATCACTGATACACAGTGGGCCGATACGAAGGTCACCAAAGATCTTAGTGGGGCTTCTGCTGTAATACAATTAAGTGCAATACCGACTTTAAAATAACCACACACATGCTGGCGCAGTCCACTTTTTCAGCAAA